AGTTTGCCCATGGCCTTTCATTATAAAAGCCCAGCATGTTACCCACACTTTATAGCAGTTGCCAAGTTTTTGATGGGGCATACACAGCAGCCCAGCTGTCCTGCAGTTTGATTTAGTGCAATAGGCTGTGTAGCCAAATTAACTCATTCGACACTGGAGAGTCTATCTGGTTGATTGGGGGGACTATCACAATTTTGATATGTACAAAGGCTACTGTTATAAAATCCAGAACTAATCAGGTTTCAATACAGCTGTGTATATAATGCGCTCATCACACTTAGTTTGGCTCAAGCAAAATGAGTCTGGAAAAAAACTTTCTGGATATTAGAAATAGCACTGTTCTAATTGTATGTCAGTTGGTGCGTCAGGCTCCCTCCAGGTGAGTGCATGAGATAGCATAAAGCAAACAGGAAAATTAAGTTAAGAAAATGCTCTTGTCTCTTCTTACAGGTGCAGAGCAAAGTAATGCTTACTGTGTACTCAGCAGTACTTGTGTGATTACACCACTACTCAGTGGCCTATATACACCTTGGGCTGTGACTTGTCAGACATTATAATCTAAGCAGTATTTTATTGGGTCCAAAAAAACAAGAAAAAAACACCTTTCTGACTAGAGCAATTTGGATTTCGTCCTCCCACTGAAAATTTAAAAACATTTAATCTTCATCAAAGCCCCCAAGTGTTTACCCCAAAATGGAATTTTACATTTTTGGCTATATTACAGGATCTCATTTTTTTTCAGTTAATGTCTAAATTTGCAAAGGAGTGCACAGTGCTTTTGCAAAGAATTTGGCTAATAAAAGAGCACACTTCCTGCAGAAAAAACAGAAATAAGGATTTTTGTTATTGTTGCGTTTTCAATCAGCACAGGACTAACACTGTGTAATCAACGAAAAAATCAAAGACATTTTCATAACAATAAGGGAGTGATTTGCCTCTGATCCTTTGGCCAAATGTCAAAATGACTAATTAGATTCAGTCTACCTTAATTTTCCCTTTAGTTTCAGGTGAGTAATTTATTATTTACCTTCCCTACTCAGTTAGTATGTGTGTGCTGATTCAGAATGCCCCCTAGAAGGGATTTCTTTTCACTAGTGAGAGAAATATCACTGTATATACAGTTTCACTGTAAAGCACTTTAACAACTGTCGGGAAGGAAAGGGTTATGGAAATATGAAATTGTTTAGATTATTGACTGTAAATTATGTGCATCAATACAGCAGAGGTTTTTTGTTCATGATACTGCAGCAGGGACATAGAAAAACTGTGGAGAGAGTGTGAGAGTGCAGCTAGTAGTGTGCTGCGAGGTTTCATCATTATTGAAATGAATAGGCTAGGAGGCAAAATTAAGGTTGTTTGTATAAGATACTACCTGGGTTTTTTTGGGAGGAATATAGCTATGGTATCTGCATATCCCTGAGGAAGGAAAGGGAAGTTTCATTAGTTAGCCAAGGTAAGACTAGAAATGACAGAATTAAATCTGAATGATAAAACTGCAGTTTAAATAGCCTGGAACAGCATTAAAATCAGCAAACAGGGAAACAGACCAGCTTCAGGAACAAAAAATACAACTAAAATTATTTATAAGCTTAATGTCACAGCTTTTCACGTTCCTTTTGCAGATAGTCCAGTAACACTAGAACCCTGAAAAATGCAAAGCAAGAAAGGAAATGGGCTGCAGCTGACCAAACTGTGGTGCTCATCCAGACCTGTTTGCTGTCAGTATCAAGTTTTTCAATCCCTCCTATCTTTTCTGCTGCCTTGCAACTTGCGAAATGCATTTGCACCCATGCAATCTGGTATAAAAGGCTATCATGGTAATGTGGTAGCATTTTCTATCAGTGAGGCATTCGTAATCGTGACTATGCAAGAAGCAAGGCAGTGGAGAATAAGGCTCTTGGAATTTGTGGGCCAGATACTCACAGGGAATGGGGTGTTATAGGTGTCTTTTACAGATGAATGAATATCAGCGTTTATGCAACTATTCCACTAGCTAGGATAACCACAGTGCATTACCTACTGGCCTTGTCCTACTTGTAAACCCCTACACTGGTTGTACTAGTCCTACACTACTGAGGATTGCCGATGACAGCTGCTGCCTCAAGATATATTTACATCCCTTTTGTGAGTCTGCCCCATGGGGATTTACTAAGACCTGAGAGACTGACTCTGAGTTTGCATGACTGAAATATACTTGAATCCTAAGGTGACATTTTGAGTGCCTGAGACCAGAATACGGGCAGTACTTTGATGACTACTGAGTAACCTTTATCTTTATGCAGCAACACTTAAAGTGGTGTGCTTCATTTTTAAAATTTTCTGTTTCAGTCATAAACCCAGGTGATATCTATGTAATGGCTGGACTATGTTACGTATTATCAGGGATCTGGGTTTCCCATTTTCCACAGGTAAACAGAAAAAACCATGGATTTCCTCTTTTAACTGAGAAAAACATGGATTTTTCATTTTGATGGAGAAACACGCAGATTTTCCACTTTTGCAAAGAGCTCTCTGCAGGCTGGCAGTCTCAGCCTTTAAGGGGTTGGGGAAGTGGGAGGAGGGTCAGGCAAGGAGCACCATGTGCATGTGTACATGTATGCATGCACATGGCCACCAGGCAGCCTGGAGAGCAGCTCCCACAGGTAAGTCTGGCAAGGAGAAGTTGGATTGCGGCTTCGTAGGGAGGGAGGGAGTTGGCCAGGCTGTGTGCAGGGTTTGAGGCCTGAGGCCGGTATGCGCAGCCACAGGGCCCTGGTGGGGAATGGGATGGAGCTGCAGGTGGCTCACCTGGGGAGGTGGGGGGGACTGGCATTCCTGGGGTGGTAAGGGGGGGGGGGGGGGCTCCCCATATCTGTATGTGGGG